AGCTGAAAAACTGATTTAGTAATAGAAACTCAAATTATAGCCAACATACATATGCAAAGTTCTTTAATTACTGCCACTGACAATACTTGGTTGCTATGTAACAGTGACTGCAGTAAGTGACTTGCATATTGATGCACAACCTGCATATTTAGTCTTATTCTGTTCCTGTGGAATCTTCTGAAATACAGTAGAGTTCAGTCACTAGCAAGTGCCTGAGCTAAGTGATGAAATAATCAGGACAGCGGAAGTGGACCACTGAGTCCCTGGTGTCATCCAAGCAGAAGAGACAATTCTCATTTGACAGAAACACTGGTGCTCTTATCTTCCAAGCTGGGTCAACTGACAGAAGCAAAAACTATAACTAATTGGTTCTTTTTTTATCTTAAACAGACCATGTGCATTTAGTGTGGGACATTAGTCACCTGGCTCCCATTCTAGCTCTACCATACACTAGCCTTATGACCTCAAGCAAGTTATTTGCATTCTCTGTGCCTCAGTTTCTTCCTGCATGAAGTGAAAATATGTAATATATGGAATGTAATATGGAATCATAATAATAATGTAATATATAATGGCCCTTCCCCTTAGGATTGCTTCTGGGAACAAAACTGTTATCATGCAAAACATTAAAATATTGCTCCCATAAATGTTAGCTTCATTGTGCTGATAACCTTTTGCTAGAGGACTGATTTTTAAATTTTCTTTTAGTATTTGCATTTATTTTCATTTCATTTTGATAAACATGTACTAATTACATATATTAATGGAATTCAGGGTATTTTTTTAAACTTTATTTTGAGGCCTGATGAGATTATTTAAGAAGCAAAGGTGCCTACTATCAATCTTGACAAGCTGAGTTTGTTCCCTAGGACCCATTAGGTGGAAGGAGAGAACCAGCTCCAGCAAGTTGTCCTCTGACTGCCACATGCATGTGTACACACACACACACACACACACACACACACACACACACACACGCAAAACAGGCTCTCCAAATGACAAAGTCAATGTCTTTCACTTGGGCCAAGTAGTTCTCCTTTCAGGTCAACTGTACCCCATTTCATTTTTTATTGTTTTAAAAAATATTTTATGTGTATGAGTATCTTGCCTACATGTATGTAAGTGCACCTATGTGTACAGTGCCCATGGAAGCCAGAAGAGGGCACTGGATCCCCTGGAACTGGAGTTACGATGGTTGTTAGTCACCATGTGGGTGCTGGGAACTGAACCTGGGTCCTCTGCAAGAGCAGCCAGTGCTCTTAACTGCTGAGACATATCTAGCCACCCTACCTCCACCCATTTCATTGTCTACTACCATGACACATTGCCTTACGTACCTAAATCACAGCTTTGGAAGAAGGACATCAGCCTTCCTCTACTGCCGTGGCCACTTGCTCTTGGCTGTGCTGAATTAAAGAGAAGCCACTAAACTACACTGCCACATGTCACAATGCTTCCCAGTTGCCTTCCTCAGAACATTGGTACATGTTTTGGTTAGTGTATCAGGAATTCTTGTTTTGTGATATTTGAAGAAAAATAAATATTTGAGTGGGTTTTGAGATTGGACAAGTGAATGTAAAAAGCCTTGCTTTTCAATGATATGAAGTATCTCTGAAATAAAAACTTTCCTATATTCAACCTGCCCACCCTCAAGTCTTGATGCTCACCAACACAACTGAAATCATTTTCCAAAAGCAGTTCCCATATCAATTTGCTGTTACTCATCTCACCTGTATGAGCAATACAGAACTGGTCTAGAAAGTTAGGTAAGAAAACCACAGGTCTAAGAAGCCTGTACATGGTGCCAGAGCCAGGCTAGGCTCTCAATGACCCTCTGAGATATGGAAAAAGTCTTAACCGTCAATGATCTTGGAAAGCAACAGATGGAAGAAAGGAATGAGTCTGCACTGTGTGAGTTACTGAGACATGATTCAACGAAAGCTGTATCCCAGATTCTGTACTTTGTAATGTTCTGTTTGAAAGTTCTCCTAGCTCACAACCCTTCTTGACATTGGTATGTAATGACCTTGCAGAGTGGACACTCAGTTTGGCATCTCAGATGTTGAGTAGATCTTGTGCTTAAAAATCTAGAAGGAATGGGGAATGGTGGCAGATCTCTGTGAGATCAAGGGCAGCCTGGTCTACACGGTGAGTTCCAGAAAGAAATAAAATAAAAGAAACTAGAAGGAAGCACCTACCAGAAGCTCCTTCTGGCTTCAGCATACTCATCCTAAACTGAGACACTGTCTCCTCTTGGAAGATTATGTCCTAGAAGTGTCCCAGCTGAGCACTCTTAGTGCCATTCTAAAAGTTAGCATTTCCAGAGAGACGCTGTGGTGGAATATGAGCTTGGAGACCTGTAACCATTACATCTTCCACCTGCTTTAATTCCTTGGAGTGGAAGCTCTGGTTAATGTCCCTAATGCCCCCGGCCCCTTGTTGTTCCCTCCTCCTGGAATTCCTATTTACTTTTCAAAACTCAGCTCAAACTTACTATCAGCTCCTGTAAAAGCATCTTCAAACAAGAGTCTTCAGTGACTAAAGCAAAGATTGCCCATATCCTTGCCCAAGTGTTGGGTTTTTTCCTTAGTCTTCCCATGCTGGTCATAAAGGATGATCACAGTGGCATGAACCATACTGAAGACAAGGGAAAATAGGCTCCAAAGGTTTATGCAGAATTGAAATGCCATTCAGAAAAGCTGAATATCAGTGCTCATGTATGCTGGAACACCAGTGAAGTTAGGCACACATTCATTGCTGGTTAATTCTAGTCATATGACAGAATCTATAGAACTCAAGAGCTTGGAAGCAATTTTTTAGTCATTTTTTCCAATTCCTTCATACTGATGAGAGATTGATTTCTATGGATTCCATACCATATGGTCTAAATCACATATCAAACTATTGGCGAACAACCACAATTTCCGAAGTAGTAATTTATAGGTTTCTGTAAGTTTTGCTTGTATTGTGTTCCCACTAGTTCTATTTTTTAGAGCTGTCTGTAGGGGACACACTTGTGGCTCAGATTTCAGCTTTACTATTTGTAATGATCCACCTTCAGTGTTAATTTGACTGGATTTAGACTCACCATGGAAAGACACTTGTGGGTGTGTCAATGAGGCTGCTTCCAGAAAGAAAGGAAGACCTGTCCAGAATGTGGGCAGCACCCATTGGTTGCGGGGACGGAATGAAAAGGACAAAGCCAGCAGAACACCAACACTCATCTCTCTGCTTTCTGGCTGTGGACACAATCTGACCTCTCCTTCAACCATGCCTTCCCCTCCATGGTGAACTGTACCCTCAAACTATGAGCTCTTCCTTAAGCTGCTTTTTAAAAATTCTGTCACCTTATGTGAGTTACTGAGCTGATCCAAGTCTCAGTTTCTCCCTTTGTAAAATAAGGACCATGATATTTCACTCGAAAGTTTGCTGTGTAGGGCTGAGAACGCATCTTAGTTGGTAGAGAGCTTGCCTAGCATTTAGGAAGCCCTTGTTTGATTCCCAGCACCTTTATGGCCCATACCCATTTCTAGCACTTCAAAGGTGGAGGCAAGAGAGGTTCAAAGTTATTCTCAGCGACACAGAAAATTCTAGGCCAACCTGGGCTACATGAGACTTCATCAAGTTTGCTGTATGGTAAAAGTGGCAATGTATATGCACTGAATGGCAAACTCATACCTGGCACTTGCCTCTCCCTTCACTAATTTCTTACTATACAGACTGTAAAGTTTTGAAAAATTTAATAGTGCACAAAAAACAAAACTGTATGCAGAATATTTCTTTTGCAGAAAAACAAAAACAAAAAACCAGGAAGAGACTTGAGTTTTGAGATTTTCTTCTGGCATGGAAGTGGTTAAAACATCCCTCTCTCTGGGTGAAAACCTGGCTGCAGCAATGCTCCCCTTGCTTTCCACATAATACGCTCTTCTCCGTGGAGGCAGTCACGTATGGCAGGGTGTATAGTGAGGCAGTGTGCTGCACAGTGCTGTACTATACCACTATTTGCTTTCACACCTCGGTACCTCTCCTACCAGGTACTGTTAGACTGCCAAATTCCAACTGCTGCCTTTATCCTTCCTTTTCTTTCTTCCCAGCCCTGCTTTAAGATGCGTCTAGTCTGGGGACAGCTGGCTCCCTTTAGTAACGCAAGAAAACTGCTTCAGATTGGCCTGTACTCTGTCATCCTGGGGAATCAAGAGTTTCAAACCTGTCTGACAGCTGGTCCTCCCCGACCATCTTTTACCTTCTTTGCCGACCCTAAGTGCTTGCCTGGCCAATCTCTAGACCTCTGATACTTGGGTTTAAAGAAGGCATGAGAATGGACTGAGGTCTACAGGACGATGGAGAGTATGCCCACTGATCCCGTCCTAACCCACAGCAAACACAAGGACCAAGTGCAGAATTATTTCACCTGAAGGTGGAACAGAAGTTTATCCCAGGGCAACCTCAGAGGGAATGTGTCCCAGGAGAACTCACAGGCGGGGACAGTCCGGAGTTCCCTCATAAGACTGGCCCACAACAGTGGGCAATTGAGAAGACTCCACTCCGCAAGGCGGCCCAATCTCCATGTCCGGGTTCAGGCACCCCCTGGGAAACCAAGTTTTCAGGCTCTGAGAGGGCAGCAGGAGCCTAGCACCTGTAAGTCTGGGTGTCCCAGTCTCCGCCTCCAGCCTGGCTACCCTTCTACCAACTGGAGTTACTAAGCTCCCCGATGACTGAGTCAGGCAGCCTCTCCCCTCGCTCCAGGTCTAGGGGTACAGAAGAACCTGAAAGTTGATAGGGAGGGCTTGAAAGTCTCCTGGAGTCCCTTGGGTGGGTCAGGGGAGTGGGGGGATATGGCGAAGGTCAAGGCCACCCAATCCGCACCCACCCGCTCTGGGCGGACTGGTTGTTCCCAGGAGCACCGTCTGCACTCGCTCTTTCCCATGCCTCCTGCCTCTCACCCCCTCCGCATCCTGTCCCCGGTCCACCACGGTGGCCCGCGGCCCCTGCCCGCTCACCAGATGGCCATCCTGCTCTTGGGGTAGTCCAGCCGCTCCAGGCAGCCGAGGAAGGGCGGCAGCGCGTGCGCAGCATTGCGGGCTAGGATGGCCACCAGCACGGTGGGGCTCTGCAGAGGCGACTCCGGGAACACCACCCAGTCGTCTTCGTCCTCCTCCGATTCCGGCTCGGCGGCGAAGCGCGCCCGGCAGCCGCGGCGGAGCAGGGCGGAGGACAGCAGCAGCAGCAGCCAGCAGGCGAGGGTGGCGGCGCGCGGCGCAGCCATGTTTCGGGGCTGGGGGGTTGGGGCGAGGCTGCCAGCCGCCGCGGGATGCGGTGCGCAGGCGGGCGGGGAGACTCGAGGCTGCGGGGGCTGGTGGGCGCACACTGGCTCCGATGCTGCAGCAGGCGGATCCGCCGCCGCCCTGGGTGGGTCCCGACTCCTGTGCGCCCGACTACCTGCGGCGCCAGCGCTCCCCTGCCGCTCCGCCTCGCAGACAGGTCCCCGCTGTGGGGCTGTTTGTCCCGAGTTCTAAAGAAAGTTCCCCAGGTCCAGGCTCAGCTTGTACAGCTGAGGTCTGCGGCTTCCTCCAGCGCTGTGAGGTGTGGCCTTGTCTGCCAATGGGCGTATGTGTGTGTGTGTGTGTGTGTGTGTGTACATAACGGTACAACCCCAAGAAAATTTATTCTGCTTTGGCAAACCGCAGTCTGAAGTCCTTCATAGTGACGCGATACATCCAGGGTTTCATAATGCACCTATTGACAAATGAGTAGTTCTAAAACGGGAAGTCATACCAACCATTCACGACTACGAGAACCCATTTTTTAAAGCTTCCTTAAAGGCTGAATGTTACATTTCCTTAGACACCACCTCTCCTGAAATTCATTCTTGACGGAGTAAAAATACTTCCAAACACAAAACTTGAAGACTTGGAGAATTTTAGACTCAGATCAGATCCATGAAAATAAACAATTCTAAGTGAGGATGTGTGTGAAAGAGAAGATTCACATAGATGTTTTTGTTGTCCAGTAATGACTCTTGCTAGCAAAGAGGGAGAATCTACCCATGCTGGAGAAGAGAGAGAAAGGAGAAGGGAAGAAAAGGGGAAGGAAGAACAATCAACTCAAGAAATGAAATCGTGGGAATACATCCTAGAGGTCATCCACTCTTGAAGACCACACACAGAAGTGAATGATGGATTGTGACATTCTTTGTGGAAACCGCAGCCTTTGATCTGTGAGTGCACCGCATGAATTGGGGTGCTGGACATTCATGACCACCACTGCCAGTCCAGCTAGCTCTGACCCACAGTCTTTTTACTAGTTGTATTATCCTTCACAACTCTTGGAAGACCCAGCATGCTCAGTTGATCCCCTCACTCCCTCTGAAGAACCTCTCTTCCCATATTCAACAGCCTTGGCACCCCTGCTTCCAACCAGTGTCCTAGGTCTCCTCCTTTCCCTGGTCACCACCAGGCTTTGGTGCCATCCACTCTTCCTAAGCCATGTTTTTTGCCATTATTTATCTCTGCTCACCACCAAATCTTCAGCTGGTTCTTACATAGCAACTCCCTTCTCTTATTCTAAAGTCTCATCTCTTCTCTTCTCGTCCTTAAAAAAAAAAAAAAAAAAAAAAAAAATCTTTGGACTGGAGAGATGACTCAGCAGTTAAGAGCACTAGCTGCTCTTGCAGAAGATCCGGGTTTGAATTCCAGAACCCAAGTGGTGGCTAAACCACTTATAACTCCAATTCCAGGGGATCTGATGCTCTCCTTTGTCCTTTGTAGGCACTGCACTGCACGACACAGGTGCACTTACACACATGCTGGAAATATACACATAAAATAAAAATAACCAAAAATTAAAAAAAAAACAGCTAGTCGTGGTGGGTGGTGGAGATGTGAGGATTAGGGGTTGAAGGTCATCCTCAGATACAAACATAGTCAAGTCCAACCTGGGTTACATAATACTTTGCTTCAAAAACAACAACAACATAAACACACAGAACCCCTTGTCTCCTTCTAGTAATCCTCTCTCTTGGCTAAGCTCATTGAAGACAAGGTGGAGATAGGTCTTACACCACCTTTCTCGGCTTCTTATTCCCTTTCTCTGCTACCTTAGCAAGATGTGACTTTGGCTGACCCCTTCCACTGAAACTCTTGTGATAAAACCCATGGGTGACTTCAGTATTTGCTAATTTAGTAAATGAACTCTCTTTGGGTTTTCACCTCCCCAGACCCATTATGAAATCTCTGCTCCTTGACTTCCTCACATTTTACTTGTTTTCAAGTCCCTTCCCCTTGTACCCTTTTTCCCATGTGCTACTCTTCTGGTCCATATGGTCAGCAAGCTGGTTTCATCTTCTAAACCTGTGCCACCTGCCCTAACCTTTTCTGGGATGTTCACATTTCGTTTCTAATAGGTTAAATCCACTTCCTTCCCATTTATCCTCCCACAGGAACTGTCCCTATTCTCAGAGACTCACAGGTTTGTAGATGACACTGAGTCTACATCTGTTGACTCTATGAGGTTTACATAGAGTCTGTTAGAGGCACCATAGCAGGTGTGTGTGTGTGTGTGTGTGTGTGTGTGTGTGAGAGAGAGAGAGAGAGAGAGAGAGAGAGAGAGAGAGAGAGAGAGAGAGAGCTGCAGCAGAAAAAGGGCAGCCCATTTCTAGAGGGATGCTGATGGAGGGACTGTTAGAAGGTTTCACAGACATGTTCATTTATCTTCTTTCTTTTCCTTCCTTGGCCAATGTCCACTCAACCTTCTCTTGCCTTAGGGAATTCTTGATTTAACAGTCATACTTGTTTATCATATTGCAAACCAAGTGAGTTTAAACCTAGAAAGTCAAATAACAAACTTATTTTCCTTCTGTAATCTTTTATCAATAGCTTATCTGACCTCAGTTTTTCAGTGAACAAAAAACCAAAACTATAGTGAGTGAAATCGACTCCACAGAATTCTCCTGAAAGAATTTGTATGATTTATACATGAAATCAAAGTTTACCTAGTCATATAACTTGCAAAACTACCTATTTAACATTTAGTCAATTTACAGCACTAGTTAAGTGCTAAGATCACAACAATGTCTGTAACAGTAGGGATTATTATAAACCCAGCTGTAGGGGTGGGAGTAGGAAGGGAGGAGGAGACACTTGGGAAAAATTGAATCCCGTTTTACTCACCCCCGTTCCATAAGTTTTTTAGAAACCAATGATACGCATATTGGAATTTTCTCCCTCATGGAATCAATGTTTAAAATAACTAATCTGTAAAAAAAATCAACAAAAAAGCCAATTATATTTAAAAAAATTTCTGATCACAATATTCTCTCCTGGTTTATTATTATTGTTACATATTTGCTTATTCATTTGTTTATTTTGAGACAGTGTTTCATTATTGCCCAGGCTGGCGTCAAACCCACTGTAGGTAGAGATGACTTAGAGTTCCTGATCCCGTTTACTCTGTCTCCCAAGTGCTGGGATTACAGGCCTGCACCTGCATACCTGGTTTGATTATCATATTCCTTCCATTAGAAACTGGTTGAATGGAAAGTCAGAGATGGGCGCATACAGATCTTTGCCTCCATAGCATTAGAGTATCTGAGTAGCTCCCACATGGAGTTGTAAGTGAGCACTTGCTCTCATATCCTTTCCCCAAATGGCTGGGACAGGAGGCTTCCCCTCTTGGTCTCACTCTAAGCACAGCTGTGGAAGGAGCGGGGCCTCCAATATAGGCAGAGCTCTTCTCATAGGAGAACTTTTCTGGATTTCTGTGACTCTGGCAGCCAAAGGTTTCCATAACCTCTGAAAACAACACCACCAGCAAGTGTTCCAATGCAGGAATCTGTAGCGGACATTCAAACCATAGCACTCCCTTATCTTATCCACTCTACAATGTAAAATTCACTTGACTTGGTAAATATGCCAATTTCAAGATGAACATGCTTGATAAAAGAATTTTAGGAAATATCATCTGTCGTTCTTACATTTATGAAGTGATCAAATCAGATTTCTTAATCTCAGCATCTATGCCAAGATTCACATGAGAAATTACGATGAAGAAGTCTGAAAGGGATCTTTCCTTGGAACATGGAACTCTGATGTCAAGCCAAATTCTATGGATTCTAATAAGTGGGTAAGGACTCTGGATTCTAGAGAGGGAAAGAATGGTGACTGAGTGACAAAGACCGACACTTAAACTGTCTCAATTTCAATGTTCTGTCTGTGAAAAAGGAGTAGTATATAATAGGAAATGGATGGAAGTGGAGGCAGAGGTTTGAATTCCAAGTAAACGGACCCACACAACCAAAAACTGAAATGATAAGGCATGCCTGACAGAGTGAAGTGAGCGGAGTGTGGATGAAGGGTTGGGTGGAAGTTGGAAAAAAGCTGGAAAATGATATGACTTCATACAACTTTATGGATAACAATTTCCAAAAAAATGGGCAAATATATATACATATATAATAGATCGTGTTATACATATATGTAATTTCCCTAAAGAACATATATAAAAAGCCAAATGCACAGAAATAGCTACTCATTATCATTAATTATTAAGTAAATGCAAATCAAAACTACAATAAGATAATATGTCACACCCATTAGGGTGGCCATGATAAAAAAAAAAAACCCAGGGAATAGCAAACATTGGCAAGGGTATAGGAAGTGGAAACTCTTATGCCCTCGTGGTAGGAATATTGAAAGGTATAGCTGTTGTGGGAAATAGGATAACAGAAATTAAAACATGATCTAAAAGTCTCCTGAGAATACAACTGTTCTGCTTTCATTTCTGTTGCTGTGATAAAATGCCATGATAAAAATCAATTTAGGGGAGAAAGGGTTTATTTTAGCTCACAGTTCCAGGTTACAGTCCATCACTTTGGGGACATCAAGGCAGAAATTTGAAGCAGCTGATCACATCTACAGTCAAGGCATGAGTGAATGAATGCATGTGTGCCTTTAGTACATAGCTTGCTTACTCCAGGATCCAAACCCAGGGAATGGTGCTGTCCACAGTGGGCTGGGTCTTCCCACATAACGCAATCAAGACAATCCCCCACAGAGTGCCCACACAGGCCACACAATCTAGACAATCCCCCATTGAGACTCTTTCCAAATGAGTCTAGATTTTATCAAGTTGACAATTAAAACTAACCATCACAGCAACCGAAAGAGCTGAAAGCAAATTCTTAAAGAGACATTTGTATATCCATGCTCATAGAAGCCTTAGCAACTGCAGCAAAAAGGAAGCAGTCCAAGTGTCTATAGACTGGTGAGTGTCAAATTATGGTATCTGCCTAAAACATAATATTAAAACTAAGAAATTCATATATATCCTTCAATATATGTAATCTTGAAGGCATTATGCTAAGTTAAATAATTCAGTAACAAAGAGCTAATATTGCATGCATTCATTTCTATGTGGTATTTAGAGTATACAAATTGGGTAGAACATTTCAATCTAACAAGACAGAAATTATTTTAGAAGAGTATAGGTGATAATTGCCAAATACTATGAATATTTTATATCACCAAACTCTACAGTTAAAAATGGTCAAGATGATAAATTTTGTTTTATGTAATTTACCACAATAACAATTAGAAGAAATCATAT